GCTTTTGATGCTTCCTGCGTCATTCAATATCTTGCCCATAGAATCCTTGAATTTTTTCTTCAGTTCTTTCAGCTTGAGAAATGCCGAACACATTTTTCCCTTTTGGTTTCCTAACTCCAGGTCTTTGCACATTTCATTATAATACTTTACTTTGTCTTCTCAAGCCGCCCTTTGAAATCTTCTGTTCAACTCTTTTACTTCATCATTTCTTCCATTTGCTTTAGCTACTCTCACTCAAGAACAAATTTCAGTCTCTTCTGACGTCCATTTTGGTCTTTTCTTTCTTTCCTGTCTTTTTAATGATCTTTTGCTTTCTTCATGTGTGATGACCTTGATGTCATACCCCAACTCGTCTGGTCTTTGGTCATTAGTGTTCAGTGTGTCAAATCTATTATTGAGATTGTCTCTGAATTCAGGTAGGGTATACTCAAGGTCATACTTTGCCTCTCGTGGACTTTGTAACATTTTCTTCAGCTTCCACTTGAACTTGCATATGAGCAAGTGATGGTCTGTTCCACAGTCAGCCCCTGGCCTTGTTCTGACTGATGATATTGAGCTTCTCTGTTGTCTCTTTCCACAGATGTAGTCAGTTTGATTCTTGTGTATTCCATCTGGTGAGGTCCACATGTATAGTCACCCTTTATGTTGTTGAAAAAAAGTATTTCCAATGAATAGGTTGTTGGTCTTGCAAAATTCTATCATGTGATCTCCAGTGTTGTTTCCTTCTCCAAGGCCATATTTTCCAAATACTGATCATTTTTCTGTTTCCAACTTTCACATTCCTTAGGGCACCAATAATGTGCCCAGCTGGTACGTGGCACAGCTGGGATTTGAAGCCAGATTTACTGGACTTCACCACACTGCTAGATCTTCTATAGTCATTTTTTCAACCCAACTAAGGGCAACTCTGGGGGTCCTGTCAACCCCCAGAGCCCAGATTCTCATAGCAGTGTAGGTGGTTGGGATGAGCGCCAAGAAAAAAATTCCTCTGGAGTAATCAATATCAGCAACTGCAGTGGGGCATGCTGCTTGCACACCCAGGAAGCTTATAGAGGCAGCCAAGAAAATAAGAATCTACATGTTCTGGCCTATTAAAATTGGGCAATGGATCCAAAAGGAATTTAAAATACTTGGTCTCATCTTCCTCATTCCTTGGTGTTAGTTTTTCATGTAAATTGATAACTAGTTAGGTACGCACAGTTGGCATATAGTGATATGGTTAGGTAAAGGGAGCAAGATGGTTAGAAGGGTAAAATAGTAGGTGGTGGGGTTGTTAGCTACCATCAAGTTGGCACCCTACTCATGGAGATTCCATGCACAACAGGATCAGACCATAGTGATGCATAGGGTTTTATTGGCTGATTTTTCAAAAGTAGATCACCAAGCCTTTCTTCCTAGTCTTAGTCTGGAAGCTCCGTTGAAATCTGTTCAGCATAATAGCAACACACAAACCTCTACAGACAGACAGGTGGTGGCTGTGCTTAAGGTGCACTGGCTAGGAATCGAACCCAGGTCTCCCACATGGAAGGTGAGAATTCTACCACTGAACTACCAATGCACCCTAAAAAAAAAGTAGGCAGCATTGTACAATTATGGGGAGGATATCATAAAAAACTGGAAAACAATGTGCAAAGTTCACCTTATTTCAAAGTATCATCTGTCCCTTCTTTCCAGTGTTGATTACAAAGTATCATTGTGATTGGTTTTCTTGTTTAATTATTTACTCCTTCAGCATTTGCTGAGGACAAACTGTTGGCCAGGTCCCATGCCAGGTGTTACGGATATGGTCCCTGTTCATGAGCAGAAAGTAGTCTGGTGGGGCTCAGTGCTCTTCAACTCACTCAACTATCCTACCCTTCCCAGAGCCCCAACGATCCCAATACCTACCCCCATCCTAAAACCTGCTGTGTTCCACGTCCCCCACCAAGACCCCCTCAGAGGACTCCAGCTACCATCAGGCCCAGTCATCAAATTAGTCTAAGTTCCATCACACTAATTTTTCCTCAGAGTTCTCCAAGGCCTCTTATTAGACTCCAGAGCAATAGCTTTAGATCAGTGTTTCCACTATGTGGTGTGTTCCAAGACACGTGTTACTAATCATAAAGTACCAATGTGATTTATTTTCCTATAAAGTTATCCTTGCATAATAGACATTGTTTTCATCCCTATACCCCCTTCCCTCTAGCTTCCTTTAGAGAACTACCCCCTCTCCACTCTCAGACCATATGGTTCAGGTGGGAATAATCTTTCTCTGAGCGCCAGGGATAGGCATATGACTCAGGCCTGCCAATCACAGCCTCGCATTCTCATGGCCGACTAGCTCATGAACCAGTCTAGGAGAATGAGAGAATGAGACCTACTGTAGTTGATAGGCAGGTAGGTTGTAAGCCTGGATCTGCTACAAGGATGATCTTGCCCAAGAATAAAACCAACATACTTAAGCAGGGTTGAATGACAGAGAGAAATATCAATTGAGCCCCTTGATCCAACCAGGATGACTCCCGGGATTTTCACATACTTTCCATGTCCAACATAGGTGAGCACTGCTCACAGCTGGCAACTATACAATGGAACACTCCCCCTCTTCTGGCAGCAGGCTAAAAGTAACGTGGGCAACATCTAACTGTTCTTTTTAAGAGGAAAAAGGGTGTGCGAAACCAGTTTCTGCCTTTTAGTGTCCAGAGGGATGATACCTCTGGTTTTGAGAAGATCTTCAAAAATCACTATTTGAAATTTGAAAATTGTTCATTTGTGTCTAATGATTTTAATCTAACTTGAGATGATCAAGTTTTTCGGGTTTCATCTTGTACACATTTTATCTCAAAGATGAGCCTGCATGCAGGCCTATATTTTTTCTGTCCATTTTTCTTTGTGGGAGGAAAGACAACCCAAAACAATCTCTTTCATGAAACAACCAAGCCAGGGATCCAGGCATCTGCTTGGGAGGCTTCCAAAAGCTGGTCAGAGGCTCTCCTTGAGCTACGTGATACTGTTGTGGAAACCACCAGTTCCCAGCCCAATGACTATGGGCTGCCCAGCTCACTGAAGCTCAGAGCACTGGGCAGCCTCAAGTCCAAGGCATGGCTCCTTGGGGCCTTCTGACTGCATATTCCCTCAGAGGACGGCACCCTGCAGAAAATCCTCTAGAGAGGAAGCCTCCACTTGGAGAACTGTGGCAAATCCCTGCTTGAGCTGCCCACTGTGGGACTGAGTTCCAGCTCCAACCCTCCAGGCAGGTACCCTGAGCTCCAAAATACTCACAAAACGCATACTGCCTCCTCTCCCTCTATCTGGTAAGGCACAGATGGTTGTCCTACAGAAAATCTTTTATTGCCCCTCCTCCTGTATCTCAGCAGCTAAGTGGAAGTTTCTATGTCACAGTTTTGTTTTGTTTTTCTTGGTATGTGAGGGTAACCGTGTCAGATTTTAAGGTTCACAGATTTTAGAAACTTATGCATATAAAACTAGTCCTCAGAGCCAATAGTTCTAGTCCAATCTGTCACTTCCAGAAGAAAAAGGAGAATGATGACCAATAATAGGGTAGAAAAAACATCCAGAAATCAAGTGTGGAGATCAGAACTACTAAAAATAGCTCAGTGCTGGAGAGAACGGCAGAGTATGGCAGAGCAGAGGGGCAGATGCCTAATCGTGCAACAGCACTGGTGGCATCAGGTGCCAAGTCCACCACCCCAGAGCCAGGGCCTCTGCAGGGCACCACCCCACACACTCCCATGGATTCAAATCCTGCTGTCACACTAGTAGCTGTGTAACCAGAGACAAGCGACTTAAGTTCTGTGAGATTCAGTTTCTTGTAATGTTCTGTGGGAGAGTCATTGTAAGGATTAAATAGGAATATGTATACAAAATGTCTCTGCCTGGTACACTTTGTTCAATAAATTATGGTAGTGATAACTATGGTGTATATCGTCATCATTATCATTTAGGCAAAGGTTCTACTCAGAAAGGGTGAGCCAAAGCAGCAGCCGCTTCCTACCACCAGGATCACAAGCCCCAGTTTTTCAACAGTGAACAAGTTGCTGTAAACAGGTAGTCTCAGAAATACTAAACCCTTAGGACAAAGGGTGGGGGCAGCAGAAGTGAAGGGAAGGTGTCTCTCCTGCCTACTCACGTAAATAAGGCACTTAAGATAAAACATTTGTCAGCTCACCCATATGTGTTTTTCTCTTCTCCATTAACTTCCAGTGACAGGTACAATAAATAATAAAAATGAAACCTTTTTACACGATGTCTACTGAAAGCATCTTTTTTACACAAGGCTTAAGATATTGTGCATATCATGCTTGATCAAACACACCTTCAGCATATTTACAGACAAGTCATCCACAAATCAAGTATTCTACATTTCAAAATGGCACACCCTAACATTAGGTTCTAAGCCGTCTTGATAAAGTTTTAGAGATTATAACACACATATATCCTTTCCCCTTTATTTTTCAGACATTAACTGCTGACTGCAGCTAGAAATAAAAATAGCTTTGCTTTAGCCACTGTGTTTCATGGTGCCATTGAGATAGGCTGTTTTGACCACTTCTCACTCATGGTCGGTGATCCCGCTCAACTACAAGTAAGAAGAGTAGAAAAATGGTTTCTGTGACTTATAAAGTATGTGCAGCGTTGGTTGATGTGACCAAGCTGAACCACACAGGCATAGAACCACTGAAGCCTGACCTTAGAAATAAATCTAACAGAAGTAACAGAAATTGCCCTTTGTCTCCTACCACAAATGTTAATGTTCACAGTGACATATCACCACCAGCACACCTGTGCGTGAGTCAGCCCACCTCGATCTGCTTCAGGCACTCTTCTCTGTGCTCTTATGGCATCTTATATGCATCATTTCAGCAGCACTGATCTCACTGTCCTCTGTTGATTTAAACAACTCCCTCCCCAGGAGTCTTGAAGGCAGGACGCATACCGACACAACTAGAGTTCTGAGCACTCAACCTGGAGCATCAAACAGAGTAAATGTGTACTGAGTGAACACGCTAATTTTAAATAATTCACAAGAGACTGTCTTTTAAAAAACCAAAAAGGGAAAAAAATCAGATTTAATTTAAGAAAAAAAAATCCAAAATTATCTGCAAAAAGAGTTCTGCATTTCTGTGATTACATTTATTGGAAACGTTGGAGAAAAATAAAAATGCCATTTAGCTTAAGAACTTGTGAGTTATCTGCAAATCAACTCATTTCAGGAATAGAAGAACCCTTGGTCATTGTGAAGTATCAAAAATTTATGCAGGTTTCTCTTTTGAATATATTCCACATTAACGAGGCAATGGTACAAAGTCTCCTCTTTTCCACACAGGATAAATTCTTTGTTTCAGCCAACTCTCAATGGAGGGGCAACTAGTACAACACCATCTCCTCGAACAAAGAGCATCGGAATATTCCGTTTCGTTGACTGGAAGAGGAAAAACAACGGAACACATTTATACAAATATGTATTATTATTTTTTGTGAGAGAAATAAAAAAAAAAAAACATGGATTTATCATAACACAAAAAAATGGATTAAAAAACCTGATTACTTACCTTTGTAGCACCCAAAACCAATCTGGATATCAACAATTGTGCCAAGGATTAGAGCTGTCACCAAAACCCATTCTGCTTGAAAAACTAATTAACTCAACCTGAGATTAAATCTAAAGGCCACTCATGTAAACATTTACTGAGCGTCCATTATATGTCAGGTACTAACTGTGATAGACACTAACCACACAGAGATGAATAAAACACAGATCCTATCCTCCTAGAGTCCTCATTCCAGAAATGAGAAGAAAGTTTGAATGTATTTACAGGTATACTTACAGCTAAGCAAAATGACAAGATTACTCATGGCAGCACAGTTTATATTAGTAAAAGATGCGAAATGGCTGTCTATCAATAGGAAAATAGCTAAATAAATTATGCTGTTTCCAGACAATGGAGTACTACAAAGCTAAAAACAAAAGTATGAGGAAACAATGCATGAAAATGGATAAAGTACTGACATATATTTAGTTAAAAGAGCAAGGTATGGAACAATATTTATGGTAGGCTATGTTTGGTTGTTTAAAAAACGGAGGGTGCAGGAGAATAATTACTATTCATCAGTACATCCATGAAGAAACAAGGATTCTCAAGAAACTAATAAGTGATTACCTCTGGGGGTGGGAGTGAAAAGAAGATGAATAGAGGGCAGGAACAAGAGGGAGACTTTTTAGTATATGTTGTTGTTAGGTGCCATCGAGTGGGTTCTGACTCACAGAGATTCTACGTACAACAGAACAAAATACTGCCTGGCCCTGGCACCATCCTCACAATCATTGTTATGCTGGAGCCTGTTGTTGGAGACACTCTGTCGATTCATCTTGTTGAAGGACTTCCTCTTTTTTGCTGGCCCTCTACCTTACCAAGCATGATGTCCTTCTCTAGGGACTGTCTCTCCAGATAACATGTCCAAAGTATGTGAGCCAAAGTCTCTCCATCCTTGCTTCCAAGGAGCTCTCTGGTTGTACTTCTTCCAAGACAGATTTGTTCGTTCTTTTGGCAGTCCATGGTATATTCAATATTCTTTGCCAACACCACAATTCAAAGGCGTCAATTCTTTGGTCTTCCTTATTCATCGTTCAGCTTTTGCATGCATATGAGGCGAATGAAAACACCATGGCTTGGGTCAGGCGCACCTTAGTCTTCAAGGTGATATCTTTGCTTTTCAACACTTTAAAGAGGTCTTTTGCAGCCGATTTGCCCAATGCAATGTGTCTTTTGATTTCCTGACTGCTGCTTCCACAGGTGTTGATTGTGGATCCAAGCAAAATGAAATCTTTTACAACTTCAGTCTTTTCTCCATTTATCATGATGGTGCTTACTGGTCCCATCGTGACGATTTTTGTTTTCTTTAGGTTGAAGTGCAATCTATACTGAAGGCTGTGGTCTTTGATCTTCCTCAGTAAGTGCTTCAAGTCCTCTTCAATTTCATCAAGTAAGGTTGTGTCGTCTGCATAACGCAGGTTGTTAATGAGTCTTCCTCCAATCCTGATGCCCGCTGGTCTTCATTTAGTCCAGCTGCTCGGATGATTCGCTCAGCATACAGACTGAATAGGTATGGTGAAAGGATACAACCCTGATGTATACCTTTCCTGACTTTAAACCATGCAGTATCTCCTTGTTCTGTTCAAAAGACTGCCTCTTGATCTATGTACAGGTTCCACATGAGCACAATTAAGTGTTCTGGAATTCCCATTCTTTGCAATGTTATCCATAATTTGTTATGATCCACACAGTCGAACGCCTCTGTGTAGTCAATAAAACACAGGTAAACATCTTTCTGATATTCTCTGCTTTCAGCCAGGATCCATCTGAATATTTACTATATTCCTTTTCATATTTCGTGATTACATGAGTTGGAATCAACTTGACGGCAACTAACAATAAACTGTGTGAATCTATTACCTACCCAAAATTTTGAATTAAAAAGAAAGCAATTCAAAGCGGCGAGAAAAGAAATATGGTATATGTTAAGTATTATATATTGTTGTTGTTGGATGCCATTGAGTTGATTCTGCCTCATAGCGACCCTATAGGACAGAGTAGAACTGTGCCATAGGTTTTCTAGGCTGTAATCTTTACAGGAGCAGATCACTAGGTCCTTTCTTGGCTAGTAGGTTCAAACCGCTGACCTTTTGCTGAGCAGCCAAGCACTTTAACCACTGCATCACCAGGGCTCCTTCAAGTATTATAGTGATGTGTACTATGTGATCATAAAGAGAATTAGCTCTGTATGGGCGAGCTGGTGTAGAGATTCTCTGTCCAATACAATAGCCACTAGCCATAGACAGTTATTTAAGTTAACATTAAATAAAATTCAAAATCCAGTTGCCTAGTCACACTAGAAAAGGAGCCCTAGTGGTGCAAATGGTTAAGCATTAGACTGCTAACTAAAAAGTTGGCAGTTCGAACCCACCCAGCGGCTCTGCAGGAGAAAAACCTGGTGATCTGCTTCTATGAAGATTACAGCCAAGGAAATCCTATGGGGCTGGTTCTACTCTATCACATGGGGTTGCTATGAGATGAAAATGATTGGATGGCACCTAACAACACAATAAAAACAGTCACACCAGCACACATTTAAAGGGCTCAGTAGCCACACGTGGATTACAGCTACTATACTGGACAGAGTAAATATAGAACATTTTCATCACTGCAGACAGTGTATTGAACAGCACTGATCTAACAGACACATTTGAAGCCATCTAGAAAGGCTACAGGCAAAGGACTGTAAGGTAAGGGAGGATGCTGCAAGCAAAGGGAGTAAGATGACTCATTTAGAAAAGGCATAACAACGCCAAGAGAAGTAGTTCGGTGAGAAAAAATTAGACGTGTTTGGCGAAGGAAGGTGGAGAACATTATGGACAATTGAAAAGCAGGCAGGGCTAAGTAATGAAAACCATTTTAGCAAGCTATGAAATGAACACTATAAATATGGTGGATCTAGAGCCAAAAGATTAAGACTGTTCTCCATCCTCCTAGTAACAAATTAGCAGTCATTATTAATTATTCACAAATCAATTATGCAAGTTATGGAAAATATCTATGGTCTGGCAAAAAAACCCCAAACGCATTGCTGTTGAGTCAATTCCGACTCACAGCGACCCTATAGGACAGAGAAGAACTGCCCCATAGAGATTCCAAGGAGTGGCTGGTGGATTCGAACTGTCAAACTTTTTGGTTAGCAGTCAAGCTCTTAACCACTGTGCCACCAGGGCTCCCTATGGCCTGTGGTCCCCCTAACTTGGTGTTTAGGTAATGTTGATTAGTTATTTCAACACAGGAAAGACAGCAAAATATAAAATTGGGTCAAACTGAGAAACCACTTAGTCTGGTTTTCTATCTTGGACAGAAATACCGGAAGAGTGTACAGGAGAGTGAGGCAGTTGTTCTCCTTGATGGTGAACAGACACTCCGTCCAGAGAAACACATGTGCACATACACAAGCAGCCTCGGGGAGAGCCCCGCTCGGAGTAGTCTGTAGTACGGAGGACAGGTGGGTCCCACTGTCAGCTCACTGCAAATCTGGAGAGAGCAGCAGTGCTCCTCTCTCTACAAGAATGGAGACCACAGTTAAAGAGTCATTTCCGTCAAGAGCAGAATTCAAGATAAGGGCATTAAAATTTTTATGAAGAGTCTATTTCCATGGTGAAACGCTTATATTAATAATGTTACATGAAAAACCCAGAATACAAAATTGTATATTTCATACTTTATCACATTAAGACATTATTTGTAAGCTTCTGTGGAGCTAAAAAGGAAAACTGCTGCCAATTAAACTACGACATAATTCTTATCAAATAAACTGTAAGATGAATCCTGATTTTAGAGATGCTAACAGGTAAGAAAAAGAAAGTGCATCTTAGACCTGATACACTACGGTCTGTCTATGTTAAAAAGACAAGCAAGAAGAAAGCCAGGATAGAAATATAACAAAATATTTTCACTAGATATTTCTAACTGGTAGGATGGCTGGTTTTTATTTTCCTTGTACTGGTTTTGTCTTTTCTAAGGTTTCTTGGCGAGTATGTGTTAATTTTATGCTCAGAAAAAAATATATTACATTAAAAAAAAAGGTACAAGAGATTTAATGTTATTCTTCTGAATTTCTTTTCACGGAGACCAATAGTGACAAAAGCCTAGCTGATATGTTTCAACATAGAAGGAGTTTGGTACTTTTGTCGGAATACAACTTCATACAAAGCATAGCTGGCCAGGGCTCCTGTCAGCTATCACCTAACACATATCACCTAACACTGGGGATGAGTTTTTCTCTGTTCTGAGCAGAGGTATGACTGCTGCTGTTACATTTTGGTAAACACAGCTGGAACTTTCATTTGCTCCAAATGCATTCCAAGGTGAGGTTCTCATTTTTGTCTTTGAGGCTCTGTCTAGTTAAACTTGCCACCATGATCACCCGACCCTTCTGCTAGCTTTTGGCTTTTGCAGCTTTGCCCAAGGACTGAGAATGATGTCTTGTCAGACATAGCAAGATGAGGGGTTCTCCTCTCTGACAGGCAAAAAATATTAGTAGTATCTGTGTTTTCACAACGTTTAAAAAAAATGTGGAAACCATGTTTTGTGACCATCTCGGGTACTAGAAACGGCATAAAGGGAAAACCCCTAGCACTAAATTTAAGTAAAATTATACTTGTCTGTCATTCATGAATTTATCTAACTCTTCCCTACATGGAGCCCTGGTTGCACAGTGATTAAGAGCTATGGCTGCTAACCAAAAGGCTGGCAGTTCGAATCCACCAGTTGCTCCTTGGAAACCCTACGGGGCAGTTCTACTCTGTCCTATAGGGGCGCTATGAGTTGGAATTGACTTAACGGCAATGGGTTTCTTCCGTATATAAGACTCATCAGATAACTCTATATAACCACTGCTTTAGGGCAGTGGTTCTCAAATTTTAATGTGCAGAAGAATCACCTGGAGAGTTTGTTAAATGTTCCTGGACTCCAGTCCCAGAGACAGATTCAGTGGGTCAGGCTGTGGCCCTTGAATTTGCATTTCTAACAAGTTCACAAGTGATGTTAATGTTCCTGTATCAAGGAACATACTTGGAGCATTCCTCTGAGAAACAAGTATCAAATATATCTGTTAACATGAAGCAGGACTTACTCTGGGCTTTCAGATTTGAAGCCAAACCTATTAAGATCTCGAATTTTTATGCTATAGTGATTATTGTTAAAGACTTTATGGCTTATAACATACAATAGTTAAAATTAGAAGGCTGAATGACATCTCTGATGGAAAAACGAATGCACATAAAGAAAAAAAAGGCTAAATGCCCATATTTAGAGGGAGAAAGAAAACTAGCAAAGGAGTCACGAGTGGCTGGAGAGGAGAAAAGCCGGGACAAAGCAGAACCATAAAACCAACAAATGCTAACACTTGAGTGCTTACTATGTGCCGTAGCTAATCTGAAGACTTTTTACGTAACTTCTCAATTAATCCTCATGATAGCCCTATAAAGTGGGTCCTATTATCATTCCTAGAAACCCTGGTGGCATAGTAGTTAAGAGCTACGGCTGCTAACCAAAAGGTTGACAGTTTGAATCCACCAGGTGCTCCTTGGAAACCCTATGGGGCAGTTCTACTCGGCCCTATAGGGTCGCTATGAGTCAGAATCGACTCAATGGCAATGGGTGAGTGTGTTTATTATCATCCCCATTTTACAGTCAAGGAAATGTAGTCACAGACAGGTTAGGTAAATTGGCCCAGTTATATAGTTGGTAAGCAAAGGAGTCAGGCTTTGAACCCGGGCATTCCTGAAATCTGAACCCATAGTGTTAACCACTGTGCTCTAGGAGGTTCATGCAGGCTGGTCAACAGAACAGAACAGTGCTTCTCAAAGTGGTCTGTAGACCCTTGAGACCTTTTCACAGAGTCTGTGAAGCCAAATCTATTTTCATAATAACATTAAGACATTACTTGCCTTTTTTCACCCATGCACTAATGAAGCAAAAGCAAAAGTGGTACCTTAGCAAATAAAGGCAGTTGCACCAAACTTTACCGGTACTCATCAAATTCTTCACCAACACACACTTGCGATTAAAAAAAGCCGGTTCAGAATGTCCTTGCTGAAGCAGTAAAAATTAATGTTATTAAATCTCGACCCTTGAGTATACATTTTAATATTCCGTGTGATAAAATGGCAAGTCTGCATCAAGCAGTCTTTGCCTAATGAACTACAATCGTCTTGAGGAAAAGCACTTGAACAATGGAGTTGTGAGCTGAACAACTTTTTTCATGGATCACTATTTTAACTTGAAAGAACACGTGACAGACAAAGCATAGTTTTTCAGACTTGGGTATTTGGCAGACGATTTCTTGAAAAGGAACGAGACCTGTCCTTTTAAGGAAAACAACCAATAGTATTTGTTGCCAATGATAAAATTCAAGTTTTCAAGTGGAAATTAGAATTTTGGAAAACTTTTACCTGCCACTGCAAGTTACACGGCTTTCCAATACTTAAAATGCTTTTCAGGTGAGATCATTGATGGTATTAAAGAATGTGATTTTAAAATATATTAAACAATGAAATGTGTCAACATCTGGAAGATCTGCATAACTCAGTGAACTAATATTTTCCAAGTGACCAGTGCTTGAAGCTGCAAAATCATGCATGGGTAAAAGATCCATTCAAACCACAAGACAAGACAGACAAATGGATTTTCGTGTAACAAGAGTATGAAAAGTTCACTGATAAGGCTTCAGATTCCACACTGCAACTAATCTTTAAGAAACTACCACTTCTTGAGTTTGGGTATAGAATCAAGCCAGTATGTATAAAAACGCTCCATTTTCCAACAACCTCTCTGTGAAGCCAGAGTTTCTTCCACTAAAACAACATATTGCAACAGACTGAATGCAAAAAAAATGTGGGAATCCAGCTGTCGTTAATTAAGCTAAACAGTAAAGAGATGTGCAAAAATGTAAAACAATGTCACTCCTCTCACTAAACATTTTGTTTTAGAAAATGTAGCTACAGATCATAAAAATGTGATTTATGTTAATGTTATCGTTATTTTTAGCAAGTTGATAAACATTTTTAAAATTTCTCAGTTTTAGCCTTGTTAAGATGGGTCTGGTGATCTGCTTCTGAAAGGTCACAGCCTTGAAAACCCTACGGAGTAGGTTCTACTCTGCACACATGGAGTCACCATGAGCCAGGATCAACCTGATGGAAATTAATGACAAGTACTGATACACTGTCCAGTATTACTACTACGCTAGCACATGCAGGCACCTTACACTATCACAACTCATTGAATCCTGCCAACCCTATGAGGTATGTAACAGTATCCCCATTTACCAATGAGTCTGCAAAGTTAACTACTTTGCTCAAGGTAGCATAGCAAGGAAATGGCCAAGCCAGTACTGGAAACTAGGTCTGCCTGACTCCAAAGCCCCCGTTTTTAAATGCCACACTGTACTGAGTCCATGTAGGTGTTAACACATGACAGACTTTCCATAAATAAGTGTTAAGCTATTGGATATTGAGAATGACTAACATTTTCAAAGCGATAAATAGAATTGCATGACTTACTTTATATATCTCTTCGTATGTTTCTTCATCAATTTCTATAGTAGTCACAGTTTCTTCCACATCTCCCAATATCATATTTAAATGTTGATCATAAGCCTGAAGTGGGAGGGTAGGGGACGAGGAAGTTTAATAATCAAATTATGAAGAAATGAACAGAGCTTACATTATGTAAATGGCTTGATTACACAATAACATGCACCTAATACTTATACCACAAACTTTTACATGCAAATAAAAAATAATACTGACTATACTGATACACTGTTTCTTTGTAAATCACTTCCAATGAAAACCTAATCAATCTGACAAAAATATAAAACTGTGTATATGGCCAAAAATGAATCTACTCAAAATAACCTGAAATTATTTTTAAGTATCCACCCTACTCATTATCCAAGACAGCCTCATCATTTATGATACTTAATTATGAAAAAGAGCAAATTCATCACTCATCAGTAGACTTCTTTCAATTCCACCGGTAATAGTGTGACAAGAAAGATACAAAAAAGGAGATAAAAATCCTTTGTTTAATCATTAAGGTGATGGCACTGCAATCTTCTAAATGCGTAAGACACTGTCATTCAATCCTCCCTGTGATGGCCTAAACTAAACATCGTAAAGGTAAAAGTAGAGCAACACCATGCCCATTTATAACCTATCCAGAATATAATTATGTTTCCCATCTATGGGCTCCATCAATAAACGTTTCGACTCAGATATTTAGGGATGTCCTCAATCCAAGCTCCAGAGTTCATGCTTTTTACTAAAAGGTGAACTTTCTGGGACTTTGATCAGAACCCACATACCCTTCCTTTTAACTAAGTGTTAACTGGTTCACCAGCTCACATCGAAATAAAGCAGGCAATCAGTCACGCAGGGAACTGCTAGAGAGAGCACTCTAACAAGATTAAAAGCCTATAGTTGAGGGGCAGAAAAGCAAGAAAGGCTCATACACTAATTTAAAAAAAAAAAAAGTGTTGGGGGCCATTCCGTATAGAGGCAATCAGCTCTAAACAGACAATTGAACTCTGAGAGTTAAGAGTAACATCTCTGTCCTGGGGTGTCTCTCCATGAGTCACTGGCTCATGTGATTAAGCTCAGTTCCCAAATTTTCTCACCGAATTGCCACTACTCCATTTCCTGGAGCTCCTCTTTCCTTAAGGCTAGCTGTAGAGTAAGACCACTGTGTCCCTAGCACCCTCCTTCCTTCCTAAGCACTTAGCACTTAAGAGCATTTATCTTCAGAGGGTTTTATGGAAGGTGGAATCAAAGTACTTAAGAGTGGGGTTGAAGTAAGGTCCATATTCTGGCCCTCTCTTTACTAGGAGCTTAAGTTCATATCCTGGCTCTCCCTTTACTGGCTGTGTCACTTTAAGCAAGTAATGTCACCTTTCTGCGCCTGAACTTCTTCAACTGTAAAACAGGGATAATTAGTACCTATCCTGATAGGGCTGTTATAAAGATTAAGTGAGCTAGCACACATAATGCATTTAGAATAATAGTACCTGGCATATATTTAAAAGCTCAAAAATATTAGCTATTTTTAATCAGTATAGGGTAGAGTGGTAGTAACAAAAACAACACACTCAGGAAAGTAACAAGTCATCAAGAAGAGGCAAAACTTCAGTTTACTCTCTTTATGAATAAATGGGACCACTTCAAGGGACCAACCCTATAGAAATATTTGCAGATATGAATAAAGAAATATGTATAAAAATGCTCACTGCAGCAGCATCTATAATAGCAAGAAATGCAAAACAACCTAAATGTCATTACTAACATATACTGAATCTTATGTAGTCATTAAAAAGAATAAAGGAGATTTATATACATTCATCATCAATGATTTCCAAGAAAGATGAAGTGAAAAAGAAAGGTGCTGATAAACAAGTATAGCAGGATCACATTTTTTTTTTAAAGGTGGTGTTGTTAGGTGCTGTCGAGTCGATTTCAACTCATGCAACTCCACATGACAGAGTAGAACTGCCCCATAGGGTTTTCTAGGCTGTAATCTTTAAGGGAGCAGATCACCAGGTCTTTCTCCCGAGGAGCAGCTGGGTGAGTTCAAACTACCAACCTTTCAATTAGCGCTGAGTACTTAACCACTTCGCCAAAAGAGCTCCTAAACACCAAAAAATAAAACCCAAACCCGTTGCTGTCGATTCTGACTCATAGCGACCCTACAGGACAGAGAAGAACTGCCCCCGAAGGGATTCCAAGGAGCGGCTGGTGGATTCAAACTGCTGACCTTCTGGTTAGTAGCTGTAGTGCTTACCCATTGCACCACCAGGGCTCCATAGAGCTCCTAAAGGTGGTGTATACAGTACGAATATACACATATGGGAACATATGTGTATATGTGTGTAAATATACAGAAAAGATCTGAAAGAATACAGACCCAGTATTTAACAATGGTTACCTATAGAGAGATTTCCATTTTACTCTATATGTTTCTGTGTTCCTTTCATAAGGTTATTTACAATTTATTTCATCACGTATAACAAAGATCAGTAAGCTACTTTCTACTGACTTTTTAAAATAATATTTTGTTGTTTTTGATGTTTAATTTTTTTATGACAAAATACATATCTGTATACGTAACTTTTGTTTTATTGTTGTGCTTTAAGTGAAAGTTTATAATTCAAGTTAGTCTCTCATAGAAAAATTTATACATACATTGTTATGTGACCCTTGTTGCTCTCCATATACTTTGACAGCACATTCCTCCTTTCCACCTCGCATTTCCCATGTCCATTCAACCAGCTGCTGACCCTCTCTGCCTTCTCATCTCGCCTCTGGACAGGGGCTGCCCATTTAGTCTCCCGTATCTACTTGAGCTAAGAAGCACACTCTTCACGAGTATCATTTTATGTCCCATAGTCCAGTCTAATCTTTGTCTGAAGAGTTGTCCTCAGGAATGGTTTCAGTTTTGGGCTAACAGAGAGTCTGGGGGCCATGTCTTTCAGGGTCCCTCTAGTCTCAATCAAACCATTAAGTCTGGTCTTTTTACTAGAATTTGAGTTCTGCACCCCACTTTTCTCCCGCTCTGTCAGGGACTCTCTGTTGTGTTCCCTGTCAGGGTGGTCACTGGTGGTAGCCGGGCACCATCTAGTTCTTCTGGTCTCAGGCTGATGAAGTCTCTGGTTTATGTAGCCCTTTCTGTCTCTTGGGCTAATACCTTCCTTGTGTCTATGGTGTTCTTCATTCTCCTTTACTCCAGGTGCATGTGTATGTAACTTCAAAAAATTTTAAATAAAAATGGAAGATAAATAAATGTTATTTACAAATAAGCAGAAGGGAAAACTGAAGGGAATAAAACTGTTCTAAAATAAGCCCATTTCTGCTAATAGATAAAAATGTTAAAAACATGAATAAAATAGTTGTATTTGGCTTATAGAAATTTGAGTGTATTTCCGGCTCCTTCTCTTTCACATTTCAAAATATTTTTTCACATTGGACAGTTTTTACATTTCGAGAGGGTGATGCCAGGGAGGGATGACAGGGAAGCATTCTGTTTTCAAGGTAATTAATAAATTTACTTACATGTAATCTTCCTCGAAGCTCTCGGTCATTTCGCATTTTCACGTAAATGCGCTCATCCAGGCTGAGCCTGATGAGATCCAGGGGCTCCTCTACTGTGTTGGTAGTTTGTTGCTGACAAAAGAAACAAGTTTAGTAATGTAGTGCTACAGATAGTGTAGTGTTAGTATCACTGCCCTGCTTTGTGACTGTGGGCAAGTTACTTATCCTCTGCATGCTTTAGTTTCGTTATTTGTAAAATAGGGATAATAATAGCATCTACCTCATAACTGTTCTGAAGTTCAAATGACATACAGGTAGTTTCCGACTTACAATGTATTCAAGCTACGAGTCCCACTTATGACTGTCTTTTTTGGTACATCCTATTGTTAGTAATATGTACCACATACAATGTTGCAGCATGTAATTTACTGACGTTATCATTCTTAGATGTTCACTGTTATGATTTACTGTTCAAAACACTGCCATATAGCAGGCTATGGCCTGATCTACAATGAAGTCTGTGTTGTGTAGGGAGTTGTAATGGACAGGAAGTTGGGCAATGTTTAGCTCTAGTGACACATGACAACTGAACTGTGCAAGTGCCCAGCAGGCGTTACGACTCCAACTTCATTGTTATGACACTGATGATGCCTTCATTATAATATTCTTTAGTGTACTCAGAACACTGCATCTTCTTGGGAGGAAGTTATGGGAAAATGCATGCAGGGGATTTGGAAAAAGTTGCTGGGTTATGTGAACACACTCCACGCATTTGATCAGGATAATATGATGGAAGAAATCGGTTCAAAAATCATCCATATGGCAAGAACTCTGAATCTAGAATTTGATATTGTTGATGTGGAAAAGCTCATAGATCACAAAGAAGAGGAACTGACAGATCAGAACTTAATGGGTTTTGAAGAGGAAAGAAATGCTGAAAAGAAAGAAATAATGAGGAACAGGAAGGAGAGAAATTGTCAAAAAGTTTTACAGGGAAAGGATTAGCTGAAGTTTTTTCTAAACTAAATCAGGGGCTTCAGTTGCTTGAACACATGGACCCAAATCCTGACCACTTTGCTAAAGTCGACAGGCAGATTCGGGACACAGTGAGCTGCAACCACAAAACAGATGAAGAAAAAAAGAAAAGGACCATACAGGCAACTCTCACTAATCTTCTAACTAACAATGCTACCCCCATGCCAGGGATAATCTGGATGACTCACAAGTGGAGTTATTATTGCAACTGACAAAATGTCAATTTGTCCAACTCTTCTTCGTCAGGGTGAATTTTTATGATTTGTATATTTTTTATACACGCATGTATGTATTAAAATATATATGTAAGCTTATACGTAATGTTTCCAACCCTCAAAGACAAATAAAGATTGGATTTATAAAGATACCGATAATAAAAGCGAATAAAAATGAAAACTGAAAAATAAAGAAGTATTCGACTTATGTCAGGACCAACTTATGACAGAGTCATCAGAACAGAGCCCCATTGTAAGTTGGGGACTATCTGTATATGAAGTACCTGGTACATCAAAAAAAAAAAAAAAAAAAAAAAACTCATGGTGACCCCATGTGTGTCAGAGTAGAACTGTAACGGTTTCAATGGCTGATTTTTTTTTAAGTAGATCACCAGGCCTTTCTTCTAAGGTGTCACTAGGTGGACTCGAACCTCCAACCTTTTGGTTAGCAGCCAAGCATGTTAACTGTTTGCACTACACAGTGCTATATAAACAAGGAATAAAAAACACATACATCCAAAATAAAAATCCCACCGTCATCAAGTTGATATCAACTCATAGTGACCTCAAGGGGTTTCCAAGGCTGAAAATCTTTACAGAAGCAGACTGCCACATCTTTCTCCCACGGAGTCACTGGTGGTTTCCAACTGCCGATCTTTCAGTTAGCAGTTGGTTGCTTTAACCACTGTGCCACCAGGGTTCCTTGACACATACATAGGGAGGAGTTACACAGCAAAATAATCACGGCTGTACTGATTAACTTTGCTCCCTCAAAACCTAAACTGTTTGACTCAGCTTAAGGGTACAGGAAGTCAGTCTCAAGGAATTCAACCTTATCCCCACTAACATTAATCATTTGAAAAACGTTCACTTAATGCCTACCACACACCAGTCATAAGGCATATAAATGATAAATAATACTATAAGAATATACACACGACAGAGTCCTATTGCTACTTCCACCTCAGTCTGGGAAGCTCCTTCTTTCATGTTGTACACCCCGCTGCTCACTTATGGACATGGTTAGGTTCCAAAGACCAGGTCGTTAAGCAAAAACGGAGGATGACCACATAAGATCATAAAATGGAGGATGCCTACATCATTACATAACTGCCAAACCACTGAGAATTATTGCCCAGCCAAGTTGACACATAAGCTTAACCATCACAGCCAGCGTTACTCTCACCTCGAAACTTGGCACGCGTTACTGCCACACGTACATCATTAATGCACAAAATAGTCAGACCGATTTTTTATGATTGTTGTAAATGCGAAATGTCAGACAACAAGATAGTAGATAGGTGAGGAGTAGGTTTAGTCTTAAATGTTGCCTTTTCAAAGAGGTTGCCTCTGATTATCCAATTCACTCACTCAATAAATATTTGTTGAATGTTCCCAGCATTGTTCTAAACCCTAAGTACAGAATAGTGAACAAAACCAAAGCTCTGCTCTCACGAAACTTATATTCTAATGGAGCGGAGACAGATGTTAAACAAAGAAACATATATTTAATATGAAAAAATATGCTATGAAGAAAAAAATCAGGGTAAGCAAACTGCGGGGGGGCGGGGCGTATTTTATGTAGGGGGCCAAGGAAGGCCTCTTTGATGAGGTGAAATTTGAATAAAAAGCTGAAGAAGTTGTGGCTGGATCCATAAAGATATCTGAGGAAGAGCATTTTGGTAAGAGGGAAGGGCAGGAGAAAAAGCCTGTAGGACCATCTGCTACTCTGCATCTCAGTTCCTTGCTTGTTTCCTTCACACCACATCACACTTCTATATGTCTCATATTTATGTTCACTTTTTCATTATCAGTTCTCCAATAGACTATAAACTCCAAGTAGGGGCAGAGATCACAAAGGTCAACTGCGGTGTCCTTGGTGTCTAGAACAGTGTATTTGTTGAATGAGTAAATCATTGTTATACTCAGTAACTCCTAAACTTGATTACCACGCTTTCTATCAGAATCCCAATAGCTCCAGGAGGCGGGCAGAGATAATTATTCACATTCTACAGATAATGCTGAGACTCGGAAGGAAGCGACGAGAGTGAGGAATAACCAGTGGTCCCGCGAGCTTCAAACAGGAAAATACCTAAGGGTCTCAAGCAAAATTCACAGGGGCGCGTTCATCGAGGGGATGGGGGCAGATTAGGTCGTGGGGCCCTGGAAAAAGACGGCACGATAGGTTACTTTTCTGAGAGCTTGGAGAAAGCAGCACAGTTACGCGAAGCCTAATGGGGCCAGCGCTGGGAGTAGAATGCCGCTCTGAAGCGAGCCCTTTACAACACACTCACCTGGTCTACGTCGTCCGCCATGTTTCAAACCCTGCGCCCTTTACCTCCTCTCGCGAGAACACGCCTGCATCCGGCCTCGGTAAACGCAAGGACCCAAAGCACCGGAAGTAGAGATATCTGTATTGTTTCTTCTAGCTTCGTGCAGTTCAAGTTGGCCATTCGGGGCTGGGGCGGAGCTTGTCCAAGCCGGAGGGGTGTGGCCATTCCGCTCCGCCCGGGGGCGGAGCTCGCCCTCAGGCAGATATCCGCGGCCAGGTGCGTCACTCGCTAGCCGGATTTCGCCGGGAGATATGGGTCGGAGACGTGCGACCGGCGGGGAACCGCGGCGACGCGAACTACGCGGGCAGAAGGTTAAAGACCAGAACCCGGCCCGGCGTGAGGAGGAGGAGGCGGGTGAGAGCAAGGCCCGACCGGGCTGAGGGGGGAGATGCTGAGGGAGGGCGGGAGGCACGCTCGGGGGTGCGTGAGACGGCGGTACGGTCGGCTAGGGAGGCAGGCGGAGCCCCGCCGGGCCGTTATGTAACTCGTCCGGCCTCCCCGACGTGCCTGCGCCTTTGTCCTCCACACCAGGAGTGTGATGTGCCCTGAGCTATCCCCCTGGAGTCCTACCTGACCACGAGCTCCCCTGCGTAGGCTCTTTCCTGCTCCCTGTTATCTACAGAATAAAATCCAGTCTCCTCGCAGATCTCAAGGCTGAATGAGGAAGAGACATTGCAGTTATTTTGCATGTCCCCAGAAGACGGACCTGGACGTAGAATTACTGTAGTGTGCTGACTCCCAGAGTAATATCTTCAGCTAAATCTCACCCCAGAGTTTCAGACTCGGCTTTGACTTGATTTCTCCATGGAGCTATTGAATATGAATTGACTTTTTAAGTTTATCATGGGCAAAGCAAAGCTCTTGAATTTTCTCGTTAAACTTATTTCTTCCCCAGTTCTTCCCAGCTCAGTGAACGATCCCTTCACCCACTTGTTAAAGAAAAACCCTCCTTTCCTGTCTTTTCCTTACCTGCACAAACCCAATCCATCACCAAGTCTTGTCAGTTCAACCTCAATCTGATCACTTCTCTTAATTTCCATGGCCACAGCCCTTGAGCAGACCACCATCTCTTTCAGTTAAATGACTGCAGTTGTGTCTTTTCTGGTCTCCTTCTTTCCTTCATGCCGCTGCAATAGGTTTTCCAGCCAGCAGAATAGATCATGCCACTTCAAACTCCGTGGCTTCATATTGCTCCTAGCATAAAATCCAAAGTCCTTACCATGACCTACAAGATCCTACATGATTTGGCTGCTGCTACCTCTCCTGTTTTCTCCTACCACTATTTTCCTTGCCAGATATGCTTCTTACTGGCCTCCTTTCTGTTCCTCAAACTGGCCAAATTATTTCTCACCTTGAGCCTTTGCCTTTAATGTTCTTTCTGCCTAGAATGTTCTTCTCTTGCCCTTGCCATGGCTGATTTTGTCCATTCCTTCCGGTCTCAACTCAGAGAGAGCTTTCTGTCTAAGGTGGACTTTCCCAGGTACTCTATCCTAGTGCTGCAATTATTGCTCTCCTAACCTGTGTTATAATCTGTAATGCGCTTGTTAATTTATTTGCTTTCTTTGCCTATCTCACCAGAATTTAAATTCCGTAAAAGCGTGTCACTTTTTGCCGTATCCCATTTTGTCTACCTCTCATCCCCCCGTATAGGAAGTGCTCAATAAATCTTTTAAATAATTGCCAAGTGCATACTCTAGAAGGGATTTCTGGGGTTCCAGAAATAACTAGGTAGAAGATTTGTTTAGGTAACCAGCAAGAGTTCCTATAACACGATTCTATGATTCTGTATGTATTATAAGTTCATCATCCATTAGAAAGTAGTCAAATGATAATAATTCCTAAACATAGAAGGTGATTTACCTTACATTTAAATATTATGAGTTTCATTGTATTCATTTACTCATCTATTCATTCAAATGACATTTTTGAGTAGCTACTATGTGCTGTATGGGAGCTAGTTGATGTGAGAGATAGAGATTTCTTGGGGGAGCGTAGAGTATACTAGTGTTGATGTAACATTTGCACATAAAATATGCAAGGGGAGGTATATTAAATATCATGTGAAAAGGTACAGAAGCCTTTGTGGCTTCCAAAGGAATAATCAAATTTGACTGGAGAGATTGTGAAATGCTCTCTGGAGGAGTTCTATGTGTAATCTTCGACTTTAAGGATGGATAATCTCAGCAAGCAGCCCTGAAAGCCAGTGGATATTCTAGTCAGAGGGAATGTATTCCGAATGTTACAATTAAAAAATTAAAGGTTTTAAGAGGATGGAAATGCTTCTTTCCTGGGTAGCATTCATCCCCGCTCAGCACTTCCCCTGGGAGCCAGCTTGATATAGCTCTAACACTTAGTGGTTATGCGCACTTTTATAAATTATTTTGGACAAATAATTTAACCTTTCTGAAGCTCGTCTGTGAAACAGTGTTACTTTGTAGGGTGGTTGTGAATGTTCATGGTAATAGCATATAAAGCTTGTGGCATGGCACATGGTCCCAGTTAGGTAATCACTTGGGCTAGCTAATATCATTCAGCCTAAACATAGGTATCTTAGTCTGGATTCTCTGGAGGAGCAAAACCAGTGAAGCGTATATAAATATCTATAGAGAGAAATTTTACTTCAGAGAAATGGCTCACACAGTTGTGAGGGCTGGCAAGACCCACATCCGCGGGTCAGGCAACAGGCTGAAGACCTCTGCTGGTTCACGTGGTTGCAGGGGCTGATGAACCCAAAATCTGCAGGTCAGACAGCAGGCCAGAAACTTCTGCAGGCTTGAGTCCCAAGAAATGGAGGTCACATGATGACAAGAGTCCAAGGTTGAGAAAGAGAGTAGTGAGCTTTGCCAGAATATCCATTCATATATTGGAGGCAAGCCACACCCCCAAGCAAACTCCCCTTTCAAGTGACTTGGCTGCTCACATCAGATCACAGAATGGAAGGTGATTATATAGTGTCTGTCAAACCACTGAGAATCAGCCTAGCCAAGTGCACACATAACATTAACCATCATAGTAGGTAAAGATGCACCCAAGCTTCAGCTCAAACTCTGCTAGCCAGCAGAGTTAGCAACAAGTTCCCAAGGCGACTTGTGGGGTTTGAAGAGTTATAATCTTTGCTGTGGTTAAGTGGAGGAGCACAGACTTAGCAATTGTGGTTTGGGCTGCAGATGACACTGCTGATGACTGTTCAGTGTAGAAATTCTTATAGAACTCTGGGTTTTAACAGCATACAAATGTGCATACAAATGAAGGTGACGCTTGGTTGCTTGCAGCAGTTAGGAGCAAAGAAAACAGACTTCCACATTATTACTTTGTTTATATTAGGGCATCTCTGATTTCTTCAAAATTCTTTCATTGATGTGATTCATTAATTCTTTCAGCAAATATTTATGGAGCACCTAGTATTTCCGAGCACCGTTCTAAGTGCTGGAAGTGAAGAAGAAAGACAAGGTCCCTGCTTACTTAATGCTTATTATCTTTGGGGAGAGGTAGGTAGGGTAGACAATAACAAGTTAAAAAAAAAAAAAAATTCACGTGATGATAAGAGCTATGAAGAAAATAAAACAGGGTGCTGTAATAAAGCTGATAGGAAGGATAGCTAAATTAGGATGAGTGGTCAGGGAAGGCCTCTAAGGAGTCACGATTTGAGCCAGTTATCGGATATTGTGAAGGAGCCATTCATGGGAAGTACTGGGGAGAAAGACTTCTCCATAGGGAACAGTAAGTTTGAGGGTTCTTAGGAGGGAATGAGGTTGGCCAGTTTGAGGAACAAAACGGAAGCCAGTTGGCTGGGCAGAACGAGTGGAGGGGCAAGAGGTATGGATTGAGGTAAGAAAAGTGGGCAGAGCCCAGGTCATATAGACCCTTGGAGGCCAAGCTAAGGAGTTTGAATTTTATTCCGACAGCTGTAAGATGCCACTGGAAGGTTTAAGCAGAGGCTTTATTAGAATTTCGTAGATGTCCAAACAAGCCACAGTGATGATTCCTGCCCTTGTGAAATAATTACCCTGAGCTCAAGGGAAGGAGGCTGGTCAGGCATATTAGATCACTCCAGATTCTGGAGAGTCCTGGGAAAGAGCCTCTAGAGTCTCTGGGACCAAAAAACACAGCAAAGAGTAAAGTGGGAGAAAAAGTCAACCGTATTTCTACCATCCAGAAATAGCCACCACTAAATATTGGTATGTTTCCTTCCAGTGTGCATGTTTGTTTTGTTTTTACTGTAAAAACAACTTTGCATGCTTAAGATTGTATCATATATTACTTTCCTTTGTGTTAAAAGATGACTGGATTATATTTCATTGTGTGATTGTACTATAATTTACTTAATAATTATCTTGTGGTTACACGTTCAGAGTTCTAAAAAAATTTTTGAATATTGTGAATAATGATACTGTGAACATCTTTTTGACTCAGTTTTTTTTTTTTTTTTAAACTCTTTTACCTTTCTCTTGAAAATATAGAAATAATATATAGCTGTGCCTTTTAATCAGCCAGACAGTGTGGTGGGGAACAAATGGTACCTCTGAAGTGCACTTCCACCTCTGTGAAGTATTTAGCATATTGGCTTATTAATACAAGGCTGAAGACCACTATAAGTCCTAGAAATTCTGATTTTGAGAGTACCCTACTCAAATTGTCAGGCCATAAACTCTTAATCACCCTCTGGCCTCGAAATAAGAAATCTCTTTCCAGATCCTAAATAAGTAACTTTGAAATTTTTTGTTTTTCAAAATTCTTCCTGATTTTTGAGTATACATTTCCATTAAAATGTTTAAAACATGGGAATGCATAAATTCCTTCTTATATAAAACATTTTAAATAAACAACTATAAGTCAGTGATTTTGTCTAGCATTATAAAACTAGTGTCCTTATAACGTGAGCTTTATTTAATTTAAATTATGATTTCATTTAGATCAAAAGGGAGAGTATTTTTCCCCCTGTGCACAAGTACATCCTTTGGAAATACAAATATCTGTTCAACGAGTCAGCAGGACAAACCATAAATGAAATAAATGAATCAATTTGATATTTTAGATTAATATCACAGCTCTTTTTGGAACCTTGATAACGGCTAGAGTATTCTTGTTTTCCAAAATTAATTGAAGTAAAGTCATACAAAGGCAAGGGCATGATGATTTATTTCAGATCCATGATTATTTGGGCGACTATGTTTGCAAAGTAGAAAAATATCCTCCCCTGCCTTATTATTTATAGTTTTTTATTTGTTAAAAATTGTCTTACTGCAGGCTGGGCCAAGATGACAGAATAGTCAGACACTTCCTGTGGTCCCTCTTACAACAAAGACCCGAAAAAACAAGTGAATTGATTATGTATGACAATCTAGGAGCCCTGA